AAAAAAAAACATGAAGAGAGATGCCCGCGCGGCTCCTTGGCGCATCCAGCAGCGCCGCCTTTAGCGCTGACCACCGCAGAAGGCGACGGCGGCTCCCGGCCCGCGGGGCGGGTGCGGCGCCTTGCTGCCGGGCGGAAGGTGCGGAACAGAGGCCCGCCAGCCCGGACAGCCGAGCGACCGCCAGTCTGAGGCCGCACGCCCCGCCGTCGCCGCCCGCTGATGCGACCGGGCGGCCTCACGCTGAGGAGGGCGGCCGAGCCGAGGCGGGCGCGGGGACCGGGCGCCCTCACGCGGCACCGCGGGCGACCGCGCAGGCGTCGGCGGCGGGGACCCGGGCCCGCGGGAGACCCCGGGACGAACGCGGAGAGTCCCGAGTGCGGCGACGCCCCGGGGCCTCGCGGCGCGGCGCGCTTGGGGGTCTTCAGGAGACTGGCGTTCGGGGGCGGGGGGCGAGATCTGGCCGGGGGGCGGGGGTTCAGACTGAGGCCGGGGCGGGTTAACTTGAGACGCAAGGGGGTCGGAGTTAGACTGGAGGACCCGGGGGCGGGGTGAACTGAGACCCGGGGGCGGGCTAGACTGACGCCCCGGGGGCGAAGGTTAGACTGAGAACCCGGGGGGCGGGGTTAGACTGAGACGCCGGGGGGGCGGGGTGAGACTGGAAACCGGGGGGGCGGTTAGATCTGTAACGCCGGGGGCGGGGGTTAGATGAGTCCCGGGGGCGGGGGTTAGACCTGAGACCTCGGAGGAGGGGGTTAGACTGGAGACCCGGGGGGCGGGTTTATACTGAGACCGGGGGGCGGGGTTAGACTGAGACCGGGGGCGGGGTTAGACTGAGACCCGGGGTGCGGGGTTAGACTGAGACCGGGGGGCGGGGTTAGACTGAGACGCCGGGCGGGTTTAGACGAGACCCGGGGGGCGGGGTAGACTGAGACCTTCGGGGGCGGGGTTATGACTGAGACCCGGGGGCGGGTTAGACTGAGACCCGGTGCGGGGGGTTAGACTGAGACTCGGGGGGGCGGGTTAGACTGAGACCCGGGGGGCGGGTTTGATGAGTCCCGGGGGGCGGGGTTAGACTGAGACCTCGGAGGGCGGGTTAGACCTTGAGAACCCGGGGGGCGGGTTAGACCCGAGACCCAATGGGGGGCGGGGGTTTAGACTGTTGAGGACCTCAAGGGGCGGGTAGACCTGAGACCCGGAGGGTGCGGGGTTAGA